AAAAATAGAAAAACTTAGATTAAGTGTATAATATCTTGTTACATATATTTATCTTACAAAAAAAATTGAAACAACTTTTTAAAATTTAATGTTTGAATACTATGGTTCTGTACATGATCCCAAGCAGGTTACATAAATCTTTTTGTTTCTTAGATTAGGATATTCTTTGAAGATATTTTTGTCATGTAACAAGTTATTCCAAGAATGAACATAGTCATCCCAAACCTTACATGAAAAACTTTCTAGTTTCTTTTGTACGAAAATCGCTCACATTAGGAATGAAAGTTTATGCACTTTTTTGCAATGATAAAAGTAGCTTGATGCTATTAAATCAAATAAAAACACCAACTAATTAAGACAAGAAATAGAAAGGACCACTTTCATATGGTTAGATAAAGCATAATTCATACAATACTTTTTCAATAAAGTTAAATAAGGCATACTTAACAAAAAGTACATCTCGTTATGTGCAACAAAACGAAAAATCAATGTACAACACACTAATATATTCTATTGTTTTTATATGCTCTTATATGCATCTACCATATCCATATCTGTGTGTTGTGCATTCATTTTATCAAAAAATAAGAACAGTCGAACAAATTATTTGATCAAAAACAAATTTATTAAGCAAAATAGAAAAACACTTCCCATATTTATCAGAAAATATAATTTTATTAAAAACCCATAATTTTATCAAAAAATAATTTTATGAAGCAAAATGGAAAACCACTTCCCATATTCATCATAAAACATAATTTTATTAAAAAACCATAATTTCACCAAAAAATTAATTTTGTTAAGTAAAATAGAAAAACACTTCCCATATTCATCAAAAAACATAATTTTTTATTAAAAAACGTAATTTTTTATTAAAAAGCATAATTCTTTTAGAAAGATAATTTTATTAAGCAATATAGAAAAAAGTTCCCATATTGATTAAAAAACATAATTTTATTAAGCAAAATGAATTTTTTTTTAGAAAAATCAATTTCTCAAAATGTGATGGATAATTTGAAATTACGATCACCTTTATAAAACTCTCTCTCTCTCT